CACAAGCATTCTGGGCCCGATTGGGGCCCTGAAAGAGATTTTTGAGGGTGAGGTCCTAAGGTTGGAGATGCACGTGTGCAACAACAGCAGGCAGCATGGAGCAGAGTACAAGAGCACATGAACCGCACACGAACCGCCTGCGTCTTTATTGTGCAGTTCTCATACAGGCTGTTACCTCACATTTACATTCTTACGAGGTGCTGTGAGTAACGCATGCACATTTGCCTGTGCTAAGTCGTAGTTACATGCCTGGGTCCCGCTGTGTGCCTGCACTAGACAAGCAGGGTCATGTCCTCAGGTGTCCTTCGATGCCCCTGAGCTTTGAAGCAGTCTGAGCGGTTCCCACACTGGCAACAAGGCCATGTGCAGCCGGCGACACCAACGTGGTGGCAGAAGGCTCGGAAGCTGCTGTGGTAGCTGCGCTGCCCACATCTGCATTTCAGGCTGGGCATCCCATAAGCTGTTCTTCTGGAACAGCCGCTGCCCTGGGTGGGCCTTTCTCTGCGTGGCACAGGGCACAGGGCCTGGTTTCTGCAGACTTAGAATAAACTTGGCATCACCCAGATGAGAGACACGCACTTCCCCAAAAGCATTTCAGGACCCACTAGGCTGAGGGAGCAAAAATCTTAAGTATAGTGCCATTGTCACACCCTAATCCATAAATGAAGAGCAGATGCTGTCCCATTTCACAGATGACAGTGACAGCCGAGGCCCCTTCCCAAAGCATCGCTGCAGCCCACAGAACCCTACCCCGCAGCCTCAGCCCTGCCATTAGCACTCGGCTCTTGCAACCTTCACTTTTTGGAACAGCAATCATTATTCTTGTTCCAAGAAGGAATTCTCAAGGCAGCTTTGGAAGAAAACTTACTCAGCAGTGATTGTTTTAAAAATGAGATTTGGGAGGAACAATTTCAGAATTATGGAGAGGCCTGTCTAAAGAACAGCAAATACGGGCCATCATAAAAGACAGATTTCTCTGGGCCCCGTTAGCAGAGGCAGTTCACAGACTTGAAATTCACAGATGCTAACTACAGGCTAGATTGGCACAGCCTAGAGGAAGGCATTTTTCCTTTGAAATGAGTCTCCTCCAGGATCCCTAGGGCAACTAATTATAATTCCACTAAGGGTCGAGACCTAGGGTAGAAGACAAAATTGGAGTGGATGAATTTTTGAAATGAGATCCAGAGCTTTGTGCAGGCTGCACCAGGGACTGGAATGCAGGCAAATACTGGCACCAGAATGATTCTATCCCTGCTTACAAACAGAAAGACAGTTTTCCACGGGCCTCCAACAGTTCTTCAAATGTCTGCACATTGCTTGAGGATTAGGAGGACTTGAAGGGCAGGGACATGGGCCGGAGCTCTGCCTCTGGGTTGCACTCCCTGGGTGGCAGATTTCTGTTAGGAAATACAGAGGAAGGCTTTGTTCTCTTGTTTGTTCTGTTCCTCTTCTTCTTTCCCTCCCTGCTTTTGAATAGTACTGTTTTCCCAGAAAGATAGGGTATGTGGCAGTGGAAAGGACGAACCACAGGCAGGCTGCAGTGGATGAGGTGCGGACATGAAGGCTGCGCTGTGACAACTTGGCGCGCTTTCGCTTTCTCCTGCCCACGCACCACAGACTCGCAGATGCACCCAGTGCAGGTCCCAATAGGAAGTTCCTTGGGCAGTGTTTGCAGCAGGATTGCCAGGTCCTTGGCAGTGATTGGAGCTGGCACAAGTGTGTTGCTAGCCTGGTAGAAGACCCTGGTCCCCTGGTGGACTGTGCGTGGTGGTGCACGCCCATAATCCCAGCACTTGGGAGATTGAGTCAGGAGGATCAACAGGAGTTCAAGGCCAGCCTGGGCCACATTAGTGAGACCCTGTCTCAAAAAAAAAAAAAAAAAAAAGAAGAAGAAGAAGAAAAAGAAGACCCCAATCAATGATACCAGGGTCCAAGGACCTTCCACGATGGCATGTTTCTACCAGCCTGCATGCTTGCATCATGCCAGGCATGGGAACATGCTGCAGAAATTCCTTTGGCTTCTTCCGACTTTGCATTCCAGCTTTAGAGTCACTGCCCAGGAAGCAGCTCGGCCTCATCTCCTATCATCCCCTCCCATGGTCTGAGTTGCTTCTGGCACCACAGAGCTCTGGAACTGCCTTTCCCCACCTCCGTTTTAGGATTTGGGTCTTTCACCTCTTTCAGGGTTCTTATTTATTTTTCTGTCCATTTCTCTTGATTTAC